ACAGACATAGCTTTACAGGATTCGCACTTTTTCACAGGTGACATCGACAGTGATCGATGGTAACCAGCAAAATGCCCCACCAAGCCAAACTCGCTGGTAAGTCGAAAATAAAGTACACAAAAAGTTTGAACGTACCCGTGTAAGATTATCGATGAACATTTTGAAGTCATCCTTCCTCTCAGTAGCACGGCGAATGATTCGTTCGGCTGAAATTGGCTCGGATCAACTTATCAGTTTTTTTACTGATGATAAACGATTCTTACCAATGTCATCTTTGGCATTGTCGATGCAGTACTTGATGATTGCACGTTGGCTGGCTGTCAGGATTGGTTTACGGTTACCTTGTGATGATACCGAAGCCCTAAAACAATCATCGATACTTTCTCAACCTTATTCGAGGTACTTTAAATTTGCTTTATTCTCTGTGGTATAAGCCGCATTCGTTTTTCACACGAAAATTGGTTTAGGAATTCACTCAAAAGGTCTATTGCATGTGGTGCCACTGAGAAATTCCCGTTTTTTTTGTGGACTGAGCTCGAATGCAGCTGCAGGGCACATACTAGCGCCTGAAAATATTTCTGAAAAATGCTCCGCGGCCCCCTTCTGTTACGACCCGACGCCCCTCTAAATTTCCTTCTCCGATACGATTCCCTTCCCCAACCCCGAACTGCCCACCATCTTCCTAGATTCTCGCAACTTCCTACCACTTTCTGAAGTCCGAAGTCTTTTGCAAAAATTCTTGCACTTTTTCTCCAGAAAAAACTGCCGTGGAACGCGAAGGAATGGGATATATTGCGGATAAACGTGGAAATCCACGAAAAATCAGCAACCGAAAACATATTTCTCGAGAACAAGGAGGACTCTTCCATCCCTTCTGTCGCTAAAAATGACCCTCCCCCTCGTATGAATTCACAAATAAGGACGTGCTCTGGCTCCAATGCATGTGACAGGCATTCGTGATGAGCCGATCTGCGAACTCCCTGTCATATCCCAGGGGTTTGTGATGGTCAGGATAATGTCGGAAGGAATGACTCCATAACCAGAGCACACCCTGCTGGGGGAAAAATTTGGAAAATACGACCCCTCTCGAAATTTCCACCTTCAGAACAACCCCCGTTTCTCATCCCCCACACCACCAACCTTCTTCATGAATGTGCTAAATGTCCCTAAGTTCCTCACCTGGCTGGAATCCCCAATGCATTCGAAAAAAAACTAGCTAAAAATCGAAGAAAAATTGAAGAGCTCAAGATTGCAGGCTTGTTGCTGCAGAACTTTCCAAGCGCTCGAAAACGAAAGGGCGGCTTACACCACAGAAATAATTATCATTGTTAAATTTGTTGAAAATGTTAGATTTGGAATTTCACACTGGTATTTTCACAACACCCCTATCGAACACAGCAATAGTAATATGAATTTTTTCACACATAAAAAAACTTATCTCCTCTTCTCAATGCTCGTTGTGGATTGCCTGATAAAAGTGTCATAATATTGTCATTTAGAACTCTTTGAACTTAAAGGAACGCTGATCATATGGGCGAAGACACTTGTAAACACAATCGACTCTGAACCCCTCTCACTGGCGCCATCGTCCGTTCCTCTTTGCCGTATTGGACCGAAGAGTGCATCAATGGGGAAAGCACAATGATTGACTGCCTTCATTTATGTCTCCGCCCAAACGATGAGCGTGGACTGCGATTCAAATGCTTGGCATCAATATCAATTTAGCTTCAACACGTTTCAGTTCTGAGGTTGAACGTTCTGAGTGTTGAACGGTCTGAATATACCAACGGCTAACCTCAGATTAATCCCTTGTCACATTTCTACTATTATTTTTTTTTTCGTTTTCTAACGCTTACCTGTACGGTAAATATCGTTCAACTCCTCTGTCTTCGATCCAGCCCGCAGTTAACCTTTTGACAGTTTCGTTTTTGCCTCAGCGAAGATTCGCGGCGCAGCTTCAAAGAGGAGAAGGGGTGAACTTGCTCAATGTTTCAGCAATGCCTCAGAGCGTATTGGGGGGAAAATTTTGTGTCGTTAATTACCAGCTCAAAGCTCTGTTACTATTTGTCATCTCTCTGAAGAACACTTGTAACCCTTTGCAATGAACGGTACAGGGTAAGCAGAGAACGAAAGATGCCCCCGGCCATTCCAAATCTGCTCCACATTCTCTATGAAAGCGTTTTACATTTGGGCATATATCATTCCATGTATCCCAGATTCTAATTAAATCGAATTCGAGTTACTTCGATTTTCTTTCCCCTCTTATTGCAATTTTTTTCCCGCAGGAAAATTCGTTTTTTTCTTCTGATGGTTTCTCATTCAATTTCGCCTTTTTATATGTTTACGTTGGATTTTATGCATTCTTTTCACTTTTAATTTGGAAAAAGCTCCACATCGAAAGTGGCTTTGCAGATGAATTCAATATGATAAGACGTTTTCCTTTGATTTTTGTTCGGCCTTAATTGGAGAATTGTAATATTCCTACTTCTTCTTCGAGTTCAGCAACACTTGTCCATGTATGATAATATCTAAGATCCCTCAAGCCTCCTACTGAGAGGCGTACTTTTCACCTGAAATCCAAGACTTTGGTTACTGAAAACAACAACGAAACGGAAATTGTCACAGAATTCGCGCCAAGTCGGCTTGGTGGGGCATCGAATAGTACTCAGGGAGGCTTTTTTGCGAGGACACGTAAATTCCTGTCGAAAAAAGTGGTTCACTTGTATCACATTGCGGCTTTGCGACAGTTTTCAGGTTTCACGAAAGTTAGAGACTGTTTTAAGGGGTTGGGGTGACCCGTCAAAACGGAACACGAAATGCTCTCCCTCTGCTCCCCCCCCTGTCCTCGCCCATTGCCGAATAAGCGCCTGACATTTAGCTTTGAGCATGAAGTGGCCCTATTATAAACTGCAGCGCTACTTTCGTTTTGGACGAGATTCGAGCGGCATTATTTTAGCCCTCATGGAGCTACTGATATGTACAAAACGAAGTACGGTATAAACTTCAGACGCAACTGTTATTCCCGCAAGGGGGCGGCGCTTCGACAGAAGGCTGAAGAAAAGCTTGGAAACGGTTTGTGGGAGCATCCATTATTGCGTAGAGCGTAGATGGCAATAGTGAGTCGCGGTTCGCGCGACACTCCGCACATAACTATGTGAATTGCAAGTCTTCTAGTGTTCACGTCAGCTAAGTGATTAAATTGTGGCTGGTTTGCGCTCCTTCACGCGACTGTGGATGGTTCCGGTCGACGAACACAAAGTGCGAGCGCGGGAGAAAAGCTGGTCCCCAGTAGGCGCATGATAGCGCCATCGAATGACGGGAGCGCAGTATGCGGTTCGTAGTCCGCTTAGGACATGAATTCTGCCCAAGCTCACCATTTCTTGGCCGGCAACTTCGCCAGTACTACGGCTGTTAAGCACATGTTATCATGACTGGAATTATAATAGGTTGATGTATCGGGTTGATTTCTTCATTCACTTTTCGATGGCGCTATTCACTCGAGGATGCCGGAGATTCAGCTTATAGTTCTGTCCCGCAGCGTTCTTGGGCTCGACTCAAAGCAGTCACAGCAGTCATAAATTTTTATCCATAATATTATGGCAAAATGATCTGTAAAATCCCTGATTATAGTTGCAGGGGATCTGACAGGGCTTTGAAGCCGTGCTGCTTTATCCCGTCGAGGTTTGTCTGGTGCAGTGACTAACATACTTGGATACTTTCCGAAATTATATTGACAGCTGGGAAGCCAAGCACTTGAATATTGTCCTCTCATGGAACTGGGAAGCATAAGTGTACTTAACAAAGAAAACAGAAAAAAATCTAATCAAATTGCTGAGAGGCTGCGTAGGAAGACGCTGGAATCTGGGTCCGACGACTTGGAAGCCCTTATGGAGATATTCCGCAATAGTCGTTTGGGCAGTAACTCCTAGTCATTGTGTTCTTTCCTTTTCACCACATCAAACCCATTACGGCTCTACTCTCTTTGAAAGTTTGTTCCGCCCAGAAGAGAACATTTTAGCTACAAAGGTAGGATGCAACTCCCAAGGTCTCAAAATGGGGCCAAGGTATTGGGGGATGGGCACGCGGCGGTGTGACTATACCTCCTCAGGCCATTAACTGTGTGCCTCGTATTGCTAGGTTTTTCAAAGCATCAGAAAGAACGGGTAGCCTATTTTCGGTGAAACACGTCATGGAAGTCTACCACCCCCCCCCCCTCCATCTACAAAAGAGAAGAGAGCAGCTTTGTTGCCAAAGATGCTCCCTTCTGTACTTGGAACTTACAACAAAGAAAGTAAAAGTAAGGAAGGTACGCTGCCCAATCCCCACTAGTTTAGGTATTATTTTGCACGATTGTCGTCCCAACAAAGGAACGCTCACGTGAGGACACGCAAACGCTCATTAAACAGAAATGCCAGCTGGTTTATAGCTGAAAATTCAGTACGAGTAACAAAAAATATCTTATTTAAGCCATGATGGCTAAAAAATTACCTGGAAAGCTTCTTTTCTCGTGTGACAGAAGAGGGTTTTCTATCGGACGGGCTTGATTTTGGTTTTCGTTTCACTGGCTCTTCCTTAATATCGGCAGCTGATTTTGCGTTACCCATATTGGCCGAAGATGTGGTGAAACCTGAAATGATTAAGCACTAGACAGCACTGTGAAACGTGCGGATTGAAGCACGGCGAAAAAGCACAAATGAGAACGTGGTGGTAATGATCGCGAGAAGAGAAACATATGCTCTTTGCACAACGACGACTTTTTGCTTATAGCAGCGATAAGGCCGCATTCGAACCTGGCGCCGTTGAGCCATTGGAGAAAATTCGAAAAAAAAATGAAGTAAGAATCGATCTCGTCGATTTTTCAGACCAAAACTGATCAAGTTCTGGCGCTACTCGGCTCGGGGGTGGAGCATTTTGCACTTTTGCTGGGTTTCTTTTTCTAGTCCCTGCTAAGTTACGCGTCTCTCCTTGGTGAGACCTGCAAATGTTAACGAAGCTCATGCTAATG